GATTTTTTTGCGATAAGTCGAAACAGCGTATCTGCATACCTGAAATCTGCCATAGGCACATTAGATTTTGTAAAACTATATCCGAGCAACAGTGTCGCCCAAAGTTTGAGGCAATTCGTTGTGTACACAGGTCCACCCTTCTTTGAATCAAAATGGCTAATAGTGGTTTATAGTCAGTCTCCATTACGAGTTCTCTACCATGCAACATCTGATGAAACTTCCTGACAGAAAAATTTAATGCTGGTGCCTCTTTCTCGATCTGTGAGTAGTTTCTTTTACAATTCCTTAAGGCACGTACCGCGTAGGTGCTTGGATCGAGCCGCCGACAGATAATCGCTTCAATATAATAACCAGAGGCATCTGCGTAAAGAACGATATCCGCTTTCAGGTCATAATGTGCCAGTTTTAAGTCAGATACAAGAGCTTTCTTAACGAGTCTAAACACTTCCTCACATTGGGATTAGCTAAAGCAGGGACGATTTTTATCCAGCAGCTCATTCAGTGACCGCAAGGTGATGCTTCATGTACAAATGTACTGCAATAACTCACCATGCCCAGGAACGATTGCAAAATAGGTATTTCTTGCGGTGCAGTTACTTCCTCCAGGACGCACAATTTTTCAACATCAGGTCTTCGCCAATCACAGGCATCAGCAGTACGCGAGTATCGCAGTACCGACGCTTCGCTGCCGCGTAACCACCACCAGTTGCACGCGGGCTAAGCTACTGCGTCGCCCTGCCCCTACGCAGGCTCGAACCCTCGCCGTCAGATTACAAGACAAGCTTGTTATCTTTAGGCTACGAACTTCTCGTCACGATCAACAATAAAGTCAAAGTGTCACATTTGGGACACAAACAAGTAAAATGTATTAGCTTTAAGACTTAAACCATATTCCCGTAGGCGTTCGAACACCTGCAGGAGGTGGCAGTTACGCTGCGTCCTGTCTGATGATGCGACGATAATATCATCCATTATGCACAAGTCTATGGTATATCCGCTAGCTTGATATTTATCAGTTGTTTAATGAGACCCTTAGCAGTGTTCACCCTAAACGATCGCCGATTGTACTGATATAGGCCACGGTGAATGTTAATTGTATGAACGCGCAGTGCGTCATCATCGACTACTCCTTGAAGATAGGCATCCGAGAGATCATTTCGACTGCCGTTGAGTCTGGTGAAAAGATTCTCCGGTAGTGACCGCGGGTATTGCTGGAGATTCTGTGCTGCATTCTCGCCGATGGAAAGTTTCCACTTAAGCGAATGGTTCCGTTTACCTTTTTCAATCACTACGGGCACTGCCCAGTCTGAGTATTTCATAATAGATTTCACCCCTAGCTTCTCCAAGCGATCCAATTCATCTTCAACCAACTTAAGAGACGCATACGGTATCGGTCTTTTGGGTCGGGGAACAGTCTTTCATCATCAGTTTATATAAAGAGGCCGTAAATTTCGTGCAAAGGCCAAGTGTGGGTTTGACTACCTCTTGGAATTGCTAGTGCATATCTTCGGCGACTGTAGGATTCAACGCTGCATGGAATTGCGATACCTTTTCCGAGTCTGATAGACTTTTCTTGATTAGATCGCATACAGATTCAAGAGAAACAATCCACAGGTTCAAAGCACGAATCCGGTTGTCAGAAAAGTGATAGACGCCAGTTCGAGTATCCTTTTTACAAACATATTCACAGCAACATTTACCATTTAGCCGTAGGATACTGTTCGAATCGCTCTCTGCGGAATTTTCCGCAATGCCTAGCATCAGTCTACCCATAGCTAAGGTGACCATACGTGCCGATTTAGGCGGGATAGTCTTGCATTTTAAGCTGTCTTCCCGCTTTTTTACCAATGCTGGGCGGGACGCACTAATGTCCCATTTGGAGCTCAGAGGTCACAGAATGCCCTGCTTTGAGCATGTAGAATGTAGGTAAAAACAACAACAAGACTAATCAGGGGCGTTGCGTGCACACCATACGACCAAAATGAATGGGCAGGCATAAGTCACGCGGGATAGTCGACTGCGTGGGTGGGAAACGCAGCAAGGAGGTCTGTTACGACAAGCTAAAAGGAGGGAAGAAAAGTAATAATGAAATTTTTGTGTCTATAGTGGACAACTACTGCATGAAGTACAGTTTGGTGAGAAAATTATGTTTACACGAAAGTGTATGACGACTACACAACTAGAGAGCAACATACTATTCATTAAGAAGGCAACATGCGACAACGATTCGCATAATCGATATGACACATGCAAGTCCGAATTTCCTATTGCTCACGCTGGCAGATCATATATCACAATGCACTTGAAATCGGTTCGCTATAAGGTAGCAATGTTTGCAGCAGCAACGTTTGGAAACACAGAAGCCAAGTTAGTGGCCGCAGTAGGTACATTCGCTTATCACGCTGTATTTCATAACCATTTTCCGCTCCATGCGTTGTAAAAGCAAGTTGGTATGGAAATTGTTCGAGCCAAAGTTGACTTGTGCCCGCACAAAATGTGATGCAATACTAACTGAGATCTTGTTCGCATTTGCCAGAGACCAACTTACAGAAAAATAGAAGAAAGCAAATTTCGTGTCAATATTCAAACCATAGGGAAGTAAATGTGTTCCCACCATTTGTGAGATATTTTGTGCCGTCACCGGGTACTGAAGTGAACTTAATAAATCTGCAGTCAATTACTATTGACAAATCGGACACCGTTTATGTATTTGAAAGAATCTGTTGAAACAACATAATATGACCAGGAAAACTGGATTTTGTGGTGGCATGGCCAACACACATTGCCGTGGCGTTCAGAAAATAGAAAACCCAATGTATTTTCAAAATTGAACTCTTCGATTGGAGAACAGATGGTGGGAATTGGTTGCGTGGCTCACATTGTCCACAGCACATTGAAAACAGCAGCTGACTGTCTTCCTATTGATGTCGAATCAGTTGCAGTGAAAATATATCCTTACTTTTATATTTACACTGTTTGAGTTGAAGAACTAAAGGAATTCTGTGACTGCAGTGGTAGAGTACCAACATATTCTAGGATACGGGAAAACCGGATGACTTTCACTTATGCCAGCAGTGGAGAGAATCCTGAGGCGCTTTTCAGCGTTGAAATCCTATTTTTTGTCTCGACAGGAGTGTCCTACAGTGTTACAATGTTTATTTGACAATCCATGCACTGTTGTGAGTTTTCGTTATACACAAAATCTCGACATTTTTCACGCTACTCTACCTAAAATTGAGAAACGAATTATTTCAGCAGTGGAAGCGTCGTTTGCAATGTACGAACTCCTGCAGAAGTGCATGGACAGGGGCAGAAACAGATTTGTTCAAACGATGTGAAGATACGAATTGGCCAACTCGGCCAAGCCAGTCTCATTAGAAAAACATTTGCTGAATATTATCAACAGCTTCTATGACAATTGCGTCCCTACAAGAAAGAATTAACCAATTTCAAGAACAGTTGCTTTAGCCGAGTGGCATTGCAACAACCACTATCCTGGGATAAAGTTGAAGCAATCAGCAGTCACTTTGAATCTATACTCCCAGACCTGGAAATCATTGATAACGAGCTGTTTGCCCAAATTAACAATGTGTGTAGGTTTGCATCAGTCGACAAAATTTACGATTGGAACTGTAAATAAATAAATAAATACGGTGGTTAGAAGTGTTCTTCCATTTCCAGGCCAACTCGGTCCCATGTGAACAAATGTGAAAACCGCCGTCTGGTGCTTTTCCGGATAGCTGGTCGACATATCTGAATTGTCGGCTGATTGCGACGAACCAAAGTACTCACCAAAATCCTTCCACTCATAAGTAATATGAAAACTTATCTGCCTCCCTGGGACTAATGCAGCTACTGAAAGTATCTTCTCACACATGAACACTGTATAGATAATCGAGAAAAGGCAGCTCATCGCCCGAACACCGAAAGCGGTTCTTATGGTGAAATGCAATTTCGAGGACAAGAACACCGGGTATTCCTGCGAACGACTTCATGACATGCTGATGCAGCGCCCAGATCTACTACGGAAAATGCACTCAGCTGAATAGTATTGCTCTACAGCTGTGGTTACAGACGATACAATGTCAAACAGCGCGTCAACTTTAATAGCACAGTTATTATGCTGACTAATGACGTAAGTAATCTTGGTTATTTCAATGAAGTAATAAATGTCCATTTTGGGCTTTTAAACTTTTTCTACGGTCTACATGTGCTAAAACAACGGGGGGTGGTCGGATAAGAATCCCCATTTGACCAGCAACATATCTGGAAGCATCCCCCTTTGGCCCGAAAATAATCTGGCCACCTTACCCATAGCCGACCCTGTCGGGCTGGAGATTATGGTAAGGTCAGATGCGGTATCCAGCTAGAGGCGTACTGAGTGATCATTGATAGTGACGGTGATGAATTTCGGAGTGAAAATATCCTTCCTGTGCAGTTATATAAACCATATTCGACGCATTTGATTCTACGTTACTGAAACGATTTCGTCTGGTCCCCACGATAAGGACGTCGTGTGGTCGGTCGGAAATGTATTTCTTTATGCCCCCTCTTGTGGTACACGGTGCACTGATGAACAAACAGTTTCTAGCAAAATGCCACTCATCACAATTCCGACTAACACGTAGGGTTTCTGTAGTGCAGTGTTATAGACATCTATCGGTGTTCGGGTTGAAATTTGCTTGACTGAAGTAACATCCTGAATGGCGAACTCGAGATGAGTCCAGTTTGGATAACAGACATGTTCGTATTTCTGTGTCAGCTGAAGTCAAGCCGGACACAAAAATGTGTGACTTGAACCAATCGTATGTAAGTTGTCGGAGCCTAAAGCTTTCACATATATGGTTCACTCTATCTGCGTAGGAAATATAATCCTCGGATTGATTTTCAACCAGCTTCAAACATTGATAACGGATGTTAAAATTGATGACCTATTAGAGGCGGAGTTGTAGACATCGACAGTCTCCTGGAAATTGCAGTCTCGGGAATGTTTCGGTTGAATGAAATTACAGTGCTGTTTGCGTTCATTTGAGCCCACCTTCCGTAACAAATACGGTACTTTGGTCGCATCCTCAAGCGTGATCTCGTCAACCAGAAAGACGTCTTCATACCGCCTGTACCAGATTGCGAAAGTGATACCGTTCCCTGCATCATATTGGAAGTATGCATTCCGTTTGCCAACAGTCCAGCTGAAGTCAACTGGGTTTCCACTGTGGTGGGTATTAGATTTGGGGATGACAGATTCTAATAGTGTGATTGGGACAACAATGTCTGTTTTTGTTGTTATTGAAGCATAACCAGCTGTTGCTGCTGGATATACTCTTGCTGTCCTTGTAGTATTTGGAGTAGCTGTGTATGATCAGCAATCTCCGTCGCCATTGTTATATTCGCGATTGATGGGGCGTAAAGCCCTCCGAAAAATGATTTCACCGCACCGGACAGTGCATTGACAGACAAGACAGTTGGCAACTAACCAGTGTTAGCCCGACCATCAGCTCGACCGACAGCATTTGGATTCAACCAATCCGTGTAGAATGTATCGAACGACATGCGAGGAATTGACAATCACGATGGAACGTAATACCTGCGCACGGAAAGCAAAGCTTAATGCTCCCGAAATGAACATTAGTTGTGGCGCAGACAGCCGTATTAAACTTGTATGATTTAGAATAGAATGCACAAATGGCCGAAAAATTTTCATCATCGATGTGCTCGCCTTAGTGTCGACCAGACAAAGAAACTTAATACTACGATTGATTCCCTCTGATCCTGCACTGACTGTACGTCTATTCCACTCGGCAGACGTATAACTGTATTGGCACAGGAGTGCGATGGGCTAACAAAGAGTATAGAGCAAGAAGAAGCCGTGAAAGCTGTCTCACAGGAACCAGATAAATCAGTGCCTTGAATTCGCCGCTCAACGTCAAGCCTTTTATTATTATTCGTAGTAGTATTAGTATTGACGTTATTATTATCTTATTATACACGCTAGATGCAGGCAGAAAACACAGCTATGGTGCCGCGTTACAAAAGAAAAGAAATAAGTGAAACAGTGGCAAGCCGGATGAGTCACCAGTAACAGATGGACGTCGTTCCGGATAGCTGAAATTCGGCTATTGTACCGCAAAAGATCATATAATGCCTATTACTTGAGATTGTGGTTGGAGGGGAGGCTAAGCGAAGAGGCATGAGTAAAGGAACTCACAACACAAAATCCATTGAGGTCTGCTCCTAGACATGTCAAGAATTATATCCAATCAAACCTCTTCATCCTCCTCCGGTCCCCTACCGGAGATCCGAGACCAACTTCGAAGTAATGGCGTTCATCCCTCTTGACCATGTCATCGCTTGGCCACCTCTCCTCTTCTTCCATCCACACCCCCGACGCACAAACAACGCACATCGCTGAAGTCGGTGGGTTGGCGTGCGCAACACGTGGCCCTGCCATCGGCGCCTGGTGCGTGAAATAACAGTGTTAAGCGGTTCGCTTCTTCTTCCTACGTCATAAATAAGGCGTCGAACACGCTCGTTGCTCGCACGGTGTTCCCACCAGATATGAGCCATTTTGGGAAGGCACCGGTGGTCGAACATAACTAGCCTCTTCATGTCCGCTTATCTAATGGGCCAGGTTTCACAACCATACAGTAGAGTCGAACGTACGCCTGCATTGTAACTCTACCCTTCAGGAAGAGAGTGATGTCACGTCGGTGCCAAATGTAGCGAAGGTTAGTAAAAGCGTCTCGAGCAAACGCGGAGCATCACCCTTGCCCTACCGACAAGCTCATGTTTAACATTAAGCTCTAATTCCGAACAGTGTAGTAAGGCCGAAAATAAGAGTAACGACGCCGACACTAGTGGCTGCTCATAAAGATGCGCTCGCCACACATCCTTTATCAGAACCACGCACCACACCGAATACTGTTAAAGGTCCGACAACATACGCGTACGTAGTTGCTACCCTTTTATCGTAACGCCGCCCGCTGCCAAACTAGTTAATACTACCAATACCACAACGGGACTCAAGACAACATCATTTGTCCAACCGAAGGAAGCAGCCACTTGTCTCTCCAAAAAGGAGAACTTAGAATATTGTCATAATTCGATGACTCTTATGTGCTCTACTGTGACTGAATCCGGGGTTAACTCCAAAAGACCTAAGCTACTAGACGACAAGAAACCGTGGGACATGTTGGCTGGCGCCTGGGACACTTGTCGATAGTTAATGGCACGTAAGAGAAGTGTCAAATAGGGGACAGTATAAAAGTTGGAGGCAACTAAACCCAACGCGGATTGTGCAGACCAAGATGTAGGAAGCGAATCAACAAGAGCGAGGTGCGGTGTAGCGCCGAACTCACCAAAGCAGGTTTTCTAAACACAAGTGCCGTCAGTAAAACAAGCGGCGTTTTGTAGGTTAAAAGAACAGTGAAATCCACTGTTGAAAAATACTGCATGTGTTTTCATGTGCACTAAAAGGGCCTCCACCTAAAAGACTAAAAATGGAGGCCTTAGATGGAGCTGTCAGTGAGGGGAAACGGGAGGTGGGGATGCGTGCGTATGATAGCATGGGCTTGTATACAGGCTTTCAAGATGGGGTGTGTAGCGGAGTTCGCTGGGTCCAGACTTTTGTTATTTATTGTTTATGATGGTCCTGTGGACCGAAGTATATCATCGGTGGGCTGTCGGGCCGGGCTCTTCAGACTGCAAAGGCTGGCTAGTCCAGAACAAAGGCCGACGGGACACTTCCTCTGCTGCAGACCAGACCGTGCGCTTGGGAGTTACCAATCTCCCACCGCACTCCAGTCCACGGTCCTCATCCTATGAAGCAATCCGGGCTTTCTCGTCGGCAACGCGTGGCCAGGTGTTTGGGGACTAATTCATTCGTGGCCGTCCGCGGTCGAGGGCGACTGATTGTTTCTCGAGTCAGGAAGTGACTTTGAGCCGGCTGGCGAGTCACTCGAGGTTTGCCTTGAAAGTTCTGGTGGTTGTGTTTCTAGAAGATAGAATTCAGAGGGGTGGTAAAGTATCGGGGAAGTGGCTTGACGCCGGAGAGGGCACGTGGCATGCGTGATAAAACCAAATACGCTTTTTAGGTTTTCAAGATATTTTGGCTCTTTTGTCGATTTTGCCAAACTTTTGTGCATGAGGCGCACAGTTACCACTAAAGGCGAAAAAGGCGTGTTAATGGAAATGGCAAACGTTAAAAAAACTGAAAAACCGACCGAACGTTTGACCTGTTTACCACGTCGCTCGGTTGCCTGGGGTTGAGGCGGGGTAGGTTGAGGGTCAAAGGGAACGGAGTATTATTATTATTATTTATTCACAGTCTGTTAACAGACATTGTGCCATCAGAACCATGGCAGAAGAAAAAAATGAGGAAGATGGGAACACGAACTGCGATTTAAAAATATGGGAAACGATTTTTTGGTTTTACACACGCCATTTTGTAGTTTTCGTTTTGTTTTGTGAGTTTTTGTGTACATCAAAGGGATGGTAAATGGTAGAATAACATTGACGCCACTGACGTCTGTTGCGGGCCATGACGTGTAATGTTTCCTACCAATGTGATTCAGCATCTCGTGATCCCCAACCTGGAAAATGGACTGGTCCGACTGCCGCCAAACTTGAGGTTGCCTTCTTCATGCTCCTTCTCCACGTCACTGGCTGTCCACCGCGGCACTTTTTCCAATCGCTCTCTGGGAGTGCAAATAGTGCTCGACGTAGAGGGCCAAGGGGCTGGCATGCGCAGAACGTGCCCGAGCCAACGTTTGCGATGTCGGAGAATAACCTCCTGAAGACTGGCACTATTCGCCCCAAGCACGCGGTCTCGCACTTCTGCGTTGCTTACATGGTGTTGCCACCACACCGGAGGAATCCTTCGTAGACAGCGATTGTCGAAGACTGACAGCCGCTTCATATCTTCCGAGCGAATAGGCCAAGTCTCACAGCCGTACAAGAGTTACTGCACGGTCGGAAGCATTGCACACCCTGCCCTTGAGCTTGAGACTGACATCACGAAGATGCCATAGGTGTCTCAGTTTGATGAATGCAAGACGGGCCTTTGCAATCCGTTGTGAGACTTCATCTCCGACACCGCCACCAGCCGTGATGCAACTCCCTAGATAAGTAAAGCAAGGGACTTGCTCCAGAACATGTCCAGCATTGGTGAGCGCGGGTTCAGGCACCTGCCAGTCCTGGAGCAGCGTTTTACATTTTCCCTGAGTGAAGCATAAGCCGTACTTAGACGCCTCCATTGCCAGGCGGTCCAAAGCGCTCTGGACGGATTGTGGGTCGTCCCCCAGCAAGGCGATATCATCGGCATAGTCGCAGTCCGTGAATCTGGCTCCAGAGAGGAGCTCAACACCGCAGTCCTGGACACCTTCCAGTGTTCTTTGGAGAACATCTTCGATGCCGAAATTGAAGAGGAAAGGTGAAATAGGGCAACCTTGACGAACACCGCTGGGCACAGCAAATGAAGAAGGGTGCGCGCCGTAAGCCCTGACTTTGCCCGACGTGTGACTGTAAAGTCCTTTCAGGATAGTTACAAACTTGTCGGACACACCTTTCTTCAGTAAACAGTTCCTCAACGCAGATCTATCTACTGAATCAAATGCTGCTCGGATGTCCAAAAACACTACGATTGTTGGCCGCCGGTGGATGCGACGAAGTTCGAGAACTTGCCGAAGCGAGAAGATTTGGTCGATGCAGCCACGGTCTGGATGAAATCCGGCCTGTTCTTCTCTGGAAAACCCCTCTCTAGTCGTTGAAAGCCTGCTAACTAGGACCGACACGAAGATTTTGGATGCGACAAAGATTAACGAGATTCCACGTTAGTTGCAGCAATCGGCGCGGGAGCCCTTCTTGTGAATCGGAACAATGACCGATTCTCCCCATGCGTTCGGAAGCTTCTCCTTAGTCCAAACTTTCGTGAACAGCGATGGGATTTTGCTGATAAGTGCACTCCCGCCATCTTTGAATAGAGTCGTTGGTAGGTTGTCGGGACCCGGAGCCTTGTGGCGTTTCAAACATTGGACTGCATTTCGAATCTCTGCTTCATTTGGGGGGGGGGGCTGTGGAGACAGGTCAAGCATCATCCATTGGGGCTGGAGGTATCACACGGGGCTGTGCTGGGTGGTTGAATTGAAGAGCGAAATGCTCTGCCCAGCAACCCAATCGCCTGTGAAGGTTGGTGATCTTCGTACCGTCTGATTCGCAAATCGTCTGGCTGATAGCGTGGAAATTGCAACTGTTGCCCCTGATGATTTAAAACGGACAGCGGAATTTGCCAGCTGAT